ATGGTGACGTATGGCCAGTGCAGCATATGTGGCATTCCAAGAGCAAAATCAATTGAGGGTTGTGTATATTTACCAGGGCTACCAGGTATACAGCAGCATTTGATGACCTTAGAGGGTACTCTACAAAAAGGCTTTAAGCAAAGTAGAAGTGGACAGCATTGGGTGATCATTGAAGGAGGGACTGTGAGAAGAATAGAGAAAGTTAGAGACCCATATATAAAGCAGAAATATTACTTTACCATAGCTATACTGCTGTTAAAAAAAACAAAAAAAAACCACTGTCCTTTGTGAATATGCCAAGTGTTTTTTTTTTTTTTAATACTGTATCCTCCACATGCCTACTTTGGTACTTTAAAGCTGTCCTCCTATCGTGGAGTGTTCTCTGTAGCATTATACAGAGAACGCCAAGAAGTACACTGCAGGCCATGGTCTGTGTTTTTTAAAAGACTTGTTTTTTTAAATGCAGATGCAGTGTGGGATACTCCCGTGTCCTGTGGATAGTATCATGTGCTCTCTATTTTGAATAGAATTTTAGTGCAAACTGGAAACTACACTCTCAATTTGCCATTCTAGAGGAGACCAAAGGTCTTCTTTACTGGTCACTTATTTGTACTTTCTACCCCTTTCTGGTTAACTGGGTTAACTGTAGTTTCCAGTTCTGGTTAACTGGAAACTACACTCTCAATTTGCCATTCTAGAGGAGACCAAAGGTGTTTTTACTGGTCACTTATTTGTACTTTCTACCCCTTTCTGGTTAACTGGGGTCATGGTAGTTCTGCATGAATGAATTGTTTGCTGTGGCTGCAGTCAATGGGCTGCCAACTTTGGTAAGAAGCACTTGAGGGCAGTTTGCACAGGTCTTGGAATTTACCACTAATAAGCATACTCTCCCCTAAGCATCCATCCCCAAAAAAACTCATTGTTTACCATTGCATACATTACTTTCCTTTGGACTCTCATTATCTTCCCTGCTGACTGTTCTCCTCTCATTGCTAATTCCTCTCCATCTCTCACCAGGCACTGTTCTACCTGAGATTCTGTCTCTCTCTCCCCACTGACTGCTCACTCCTTGATGTACCTCATGTACCTAAATTCACTATAGTATATTACATCAACATAACCTTTTAAGTCTTTCATAGTTCTTATTTTCGTTTTAGAGGGTATTTCATTTTCTGTGATAAACATGGCTCTAAGTTTTATTCACTTGCAGAGATTAAAGCTTTCTTTAAAAAAAATTGTAGATGTTCTTTTTTTTTTCATATGATTTATTTTTATTGATATTGGCATCTCACACATACATCAAAAACAACAAAACAAAGCAACAAGTGCCTTATGAGGGTTATAAGGATAGCTGAATCAGAGAATTGTAAAAAAAAAACATTCAATGTCAATTATTCAAGACCAAAGTCTTATGTATTCAGTTTTTGTGTAAGGATCTGATGGAAAAGTAACCCACTCAAAAATTTCTGTCGACTAAGGAAAGAGAGTGAGTGAAAGAAATTATACAAAAATACAAAGAAAAAATAGAACACTAAAAAATGTATATAAAACCTAAACCAGTACAAGCAGTATTAGGTCATGACAACATGACAACCTCAAGATATAAATGAAGACAAAAGATCACTAAATAATCAATATTTTTCTGTTGACTACAAATTGTTATACAATACATTCATACATTTGAACCACCCTACATGGGTATTGAAGGGCAACTACATGAAATCCAAAGTTGACACCTTTTTTCCCTTTGTAAAGAATAAATACATGTACAAAACTCCCCCAGAAATTTCCCTGCTTATGTGGTTGGCCCACTGCTGGTCCCAGCAGTTTTTTTCTTTCTGATAATACCAGGACTCATCTTATGACTACTGTAAAGGCGCAAGACCATCCCACTAAGCACACAGAAATTTATAAATGACTGCAGGAAGTCAGGGGTATCCTTGTGTGAGTTTATACGAATAGCAGCAAAGAAGAGCTTGCAATGTATATAGCTAACCTGATTTTTGTTTTTCGAAATTGAAATGATACTTTAATGATGTCTAGCTCAATCACATGACTGGTGAAAATCAAAGACCCATAATAGCAGATATATAGCAGATATAGTAACCATCCTATCTTGTCCTTTCTGATATGTCATTACTTGAAGATAATTCCACTGTAAATATAATATATAGAGAGTGATATAAGATTAGCTGTAGAGCTTCCAGTGTTGTTTAGAGAGCAGTAGCAAGTAGTACTAGAGCATCATCAATGAAACCCGTTTCAAATGTTTCTGAATTTGAAAACTATGGAGTAAGCATGTATATCTTGGATTGGACCCATTGATCCCATTCACACTGTTCTGATGCATTGCAATTATTTACCATATGAAGGTTAATGTGCAGTATTTCACAATTTATTGTGCATGAATTTAAGGAAGCCCCTTAATTTTCAATTGTCTGCCAAGACATTTCAGTGTGTGTTTTAACATACTTTTTTTTCAGTGCAATGCACCACAATGCATATATGGTTCACATCTGTACACTGTAGTGCACTAAAACGCAATTGCCCTGTGGTTCTCCGAACTATGTGCATAAGTGTGCCACCCAAAATGAATGACTCAATAAAGTACTTTACATAGCTTTGTGCATTACCATAACAGATCAGTGTGAATGAACTCTAATAGTTTTCCTTACTTAGAAAATGTAGATTAATATCTATTCTATCCATGCTATCCATCCCAGTGTGAAGGGTCTTATTTTCTTCTACCTTAATAAATTATCTTTCTTCTTTTCCTCTCTTTCCTTATCTCATCTCTCTTTTCCTTTATGCTTATACTGCCTTTGGTAGGCATAGATCACTCCTTAGGCTCAACTCATAAAGCTGTAAGTGGTAAATCCAATACATAATTTTACTTGACATGGTATTAAATTCAGTATAACCAGTGAAAACAATTGGTCTAAAATACATAAAGTACATTTTTCATGTCACAGGACCTTTTTGCTTCTCTTTGGCTCTGCATGGCTGGATCCATGTGCAGGACAGAGCTTCAGCATGTCTTGTGTCCTATAAACAAATAATTCATATTATTTTGGTACACTGCAATACTACATGTATCGTTCAATTTCATTCACTTTTATTAGCACTGCACCTTTTTGTTTATGTGTTTGTACAGTGGAAGCAGAGGGTTTGCCACATTGTGCTAGCTGCTTTAATATTTTCTTTTTCCGCTCACTGTTCACATTTGTATACTATGTCTTGTGTCCTAGTGGTATTGCTGCTTTACATTGATTAGCCAATACATTTTATTAGGGCCATACAGTCTGATTGCATTACATGCAGTTGTGTATTAGTTTTGTTCTTCCCAGCTAATTGCATGCTGCTGGTTGGCTGTGTAATATGACAGTAATAAGTCTCCATGAAGAAGTTGCTGTCAATCAAATGCTGTGATTCTGAATAACAAGTGTCAGCAGCAAGATGTCAGCAAGACTAATTCAATGGGCATAGTATGCTACAACAGCTTTAGTTTTTATGGCAAAATGGAGCATCTAGACTTTGCAGCATTACTGTGGCAAATCTACAGAAGCTAGATGAGCTTACAGATTGTTGCCATCTTTAACGTTGGAGAACATTTACTAGGGGAGTAACAGGAATTTTTTAACAAAAATCAAATTAGACTAAATAAAACAAAGGCATGGATAATTTGGAAAAAAAAATAATTGACTTTCACAATTTTTTTCTGGTGAGTTACAACCACTTTAAAACAAAATAAAGAACTTTATTTCTAATTCTCATAACTGTGCCGCACACAATGGGGTTGATTTACTAAAGGCAAATAGACTGTGCAATTTGCAAGGGAATTTGCCCCAGTGCTAAGTAAATGAGGATAAACTCTGCAGACTTCATCCAATCATGCAAAAGTAAAATGCAGTTTTTTTTGCATGTGATTGGGTATTTTTTGCAAAGTAAAGTTTCACCTCATTTACTAAGCTCTGGAGAAAATTCCATTTCAGCCTGAGTTAACATAAATGCGGTGCGGTACATTGCATGTGTTTTGCACAGGAACCGCGCCACATTCCTATGCAAATCACATGCGATTTGTGTGCGGTGCGATTGGAGCCATACATTTTGTATGGCTCTAATCGCAATGCACCCGCACACCAAAAAGGTGCAGGATCCTTTTTGGGTCCGCACTAGAATCAGTTCACATGGGTATTCACACCTATACGATCCGATTCTGCACATCGCACTGCGTTTTGTGGACCGCTTTCGGGGTGTTGTTAACTCAATGTACACACCTGCAGTGGTTCACATGAATGAGGTGCGATTCTGATGCGGTGTGGAATTTGCACATAAAACGCTTCGAATTCTGCACCACATCAGTGTGAACCAGGGCTCTGGGGGCAACGGCGCTTGCAAACTGCACAGTCTATTTGTTTTTAGTAAGGGCCAATTCACACTGACTTGCGTTAAAATGCATTTACATTACCATCCATTTTAGTTGCGTTTTAACTCCGTTGACATACATTTTGCATTCTAGCACAACACAATGCAACCTTATGGTGTGAATAGGACACACTGGAAATGATTGTTTTTCAGATGTCCTTCAGTTGATCTGCGTTTTACAGCTGCTCTAAAATGCACTGGTGTGAATTGGCCCTCAATCAACTCTGCTGTCTCCGGAACATATGGTCTCTTACCTTCCAATAGACCCCCTGCTTGTGAGCAGGACATATTGTTTGTGCTCTGGTGTTTGCTGTAGTATGTTTTTTACTATAAGCACATTTAATTATATCGTTTTGATTCTATTGCTTTTGAATGAGGTTTCTAGTATTCTTTGCAATGATTTTTTTATTCTGTACTTTGTGAGTAATAACAAGATTGATATCTTTTCAATTACTGTTAGCAACACCATTATTTTCCTTAGAATTCATAACTATCATTCTTTCTGAAGCAGTTCTGATTGGCTACAGAGTTGTTTATTTAACACATTTTTTTGTGCATGCAGAGAATGTCACAGCATGACCCAAAAAACACAATACTGTCTTTCAAGGCCATTTGTAAAGGGGAAATGGATGTCGTTTTAAAAGAGGTATGCCATTTGTCTTCAATTTCTTTTAGCTCCATGCATTTAAATTGTTGCTAAAGCTTAAATATACAAATCATATTCTGTAATTCCAAAATTTTAGTGCGGCGCTCTTTAAATAATCATGTGATAAACAACAAAAAAGTCCATAAATCCATAAATATGATTAAGTCCATAAATATGATTAAGTCCGGAAGTGACAAAATGCGTTGGTATTTGTTAAGCGGCAACCGGAAGTGACGATAATCGGAACCGGAAGTGAAGCGGGATTGTCTGAGAGCAAGGACCGGCAGTGGTGAGAGCATTGTGCGGTCTTCCCTCTCTGATATTACCGTCATACCGATACACTCATATCTTTGGGCTTGTTTTATTCAGATGTAAGTAAGATTCTCGGGCAGAGAATAAATGATTTTAAATTGTACTGCACCATGTCGGGTCTCTATCTTTATTTTTTATGTGATGTTTGTGGGAAGTATCCGTCAGAGGTATTAATACACTGGAGAATTTAAACCATTACTGGAAGGAATCGCATCGTGTCCTGAGAGATTATCTTTCCTTTGGAGGAATATGTATACAAAAGCGCTATTGCCAACCATGAGAATGGAAGGCAAATAATTCTGGTGAGTGCACACTTGAAAGGGGAGCATGGCACAATTGAAGATTTATTTGAATACTCACGTGGTGATTTTGGAAATACTGATTAAATTCACGTGGTGATCACAAACGGACTTTAATTTATGGATTTTTTTGTTGTTTATCACTCGATTATTTACAGAGCGCCGCACTAATATTTTGGAATTACAGAATATGATTTGTTTATTTTATGTAGTGTAACATGGCAGCAGATCATTTGTTTATTTTTGTTTAATTGTTATTCACATTTTCATAGCACAGTTTGTGTTTTGAAGGTCATTATTTGACCTAGATAAATACACTTTTTATTAAAGCTTAAATATGTTGGGGAGATTTTTAGGGTGTTTTCCATTGTATATGTGCTAAATAAATAATAGGCAGTACTCCAAACAGCTAACTTTTTATTTATGTATAAAAGGAAGTATCATGTAACTCTAAAGAATGCACAAGATCTCCCCATAGTTCCTTTATCTATACAAAGGCACTGGACTCTCAGCTACAATCATCATATACATTTTTATTAGAACAAGGAGGAGATCAAGGCTAACAGTACAGCAATTATAAAACATCAATACACATGGATAGATAAGAGAAAAAATACTGTCAGCTAGCGTGTGGACACATAGGATCAGGTGGAGGTGGGAATCACAACATTTCGGAGCTAAAACCCCTTTATTTTGAGATCCTCCTACTAAAATTGACTGTTATGTTTTTATATGATGCTTCCTTTCATAAATATATGAAACATGAAAAGTATGCCCATTATTTATTTATTATATTTATTATATTATAGTGTATTAATCCTGGGTCTTTTTTGAGGAAACCCAATCCATGGTTTCAGCACCCTTATTTATGTAATTATCCCTTTATGCACTGATGTTGAGTTTTGGATGTGCTTTTGCTTACTCTTTATTTTACTAAGTTATTAATTGTGTATGCCTTGAATGCACACATTGTTTAGGATAATCAATTATATATAAATTGGAATAACTTGCGAGCCAAAGGTGTGACAGTTTCTAGAGGATCGCAAACATGAAACACATAACTACAACTGTGTATAAAAATATTTACAAATATATGTTGCGCTCCTGAATATTTCTCAATAAATAATAATTAAATTAATACCATTAAATTAATTCAAATGTATAATGCAAACAACTAATAGAAGTGTATAAATACCAAATAAAATAATTAAATAATTTTAGAACCAATTAGTCACCTTCAAATCAATTTCAAATTAATTGCACACAAAAAATACTCCTCTAAAAAATGCAAATAGTGATCAGGTGCTCATTACTCATCAATTAATGACATATTATACTTGCTAATACCCTCAATTTCATTTAAATTCATAATACCCACAATTAATTTAATTAAAAAATATAGACCAACTTATAACCATCAACTTAATCACATTAAATAATCCCCCATAAATAAAAGTAACCAAATGCTCATAAATAATTAATTAGTGACTAATATAAATCCAAATATCATCAAATCAATAGTCCCATCAATTGAAAAAATATAGTGACTTAGTGCTTGTTGTTCTTTAATTAGTGACTTTTGTGAATCCTTCAAATAGTGAAGATGTGCGCTCACCTCCTTTAATGCCTGCAATTAGGCTATACACGCTTTCGGTTCACTTCCCCTGGAACCTGCTAGATATAGGCTCTTGCTGGTTAAATAGGGACATCCTTCCTTTAGGAGTAATAGATATATCCTCTGATGGCTGATTATCCCCTCAGGGATTACTGACTCCTTTTGTTATCCCAGACCTCCTAATTATCCTCTCCTTATGTTTCTCCGCATGCAAGAAGAAATTGAAGACATAGTGCTTTACCTTTTAAAAATTTTTATTCCCACCATCCAAGTATTAAACTCACATTGCACAAGTTTGAATATCGCAATATCACATTAAGAATCCTCTGCTGGCCTCTGAGTCATACACCTGCCGTCTATCGTGTAGTTCGGCTCCTCCCGAGTGATGATGTAACCCCTCCCCTGTGGATAATATGTTTAAGTTCTATTGTATTTCTGCCTTCCAAAAATACTTGGTTTTAGGAGTCTTTAAAGGACCACTATCACACTAATGTATATTTTCATGTACCCAAAATCATTACAGTTTTACATTTTTTAGCTATGTACATTTAGTATTTGTTAAAAACATACATAGGGACGATGCTGAGGACAATAGGTGACTGTGACAAAGACTTGGTCAGCACTTGGTTAAGTTTCAGACTGATATCACTCTTAAATGCCTTTATCAAAATGCTTGCAAAGGTCTTTGCGACCAAACGCAATATATTTCCAGGAAAGCAATTCATAGGGACCAAGTTGGTGTCATACCCAAGAAGAAGGCAGGTGATTACATCAGTTGTATAATGTGTGAGACATACTGGCGCCACTTCAAGCTGCGAAACAAAAAGGAATAACCTCACAAGCATCAGAAGAGGGAGCGGTGTCCACCAATCGTTCCAGCAGCACTCATACACCATAAAAAAAGACACCGTTCTGACCAGCCCTTGGAGTCTGGTATATGGAATGGCCTCAGCAGCTCTGGCCATGCCCTCTGATGTGTTTTTTTTTTGGGTGTATAAGTTGTATAATACAACTCATTTTGCTCCTAACTGTTCATAAAAATATGCTCTTCTCATTAAAATGTGAGAATAGTTTTGAACACTCTTTCATGGAAATATTTTGCTTTTCAAATACGAAAGTTGGGGTTTCACAAGACTTTCATTGCATAAATCTGGGCCTTATGCTCGTGCACTGAAGCTTACATTTATTATAGTGGCTTCTTTTCTGATTCCTTTATGATATCAGTTTATATTGACCTCCAGACTTCAATGCTTAGGAGTATATATTTCCCCAACCTTTAATTTGTTATATTAAGCTCATTACCTGGGTCTTTTCTAGGGAACCCTCTCACCTTTTGGATATGTGGAAATCCTTGCCCATCTCTTGGTCCGTGTAATAAAATATCTTGCCTAACAAAATTATTTTATCACCAGCAAAACCTTACCAATTGCTCTCCCTAGTCACATCCTAAGCATAGAATAGCATAAACTGTTGAAATTATACTGGGGTCCCGGGACTATCTAACCTAGGATAGAGAATGCTGCCTTATACCAACACAAACATGAGGTGAATGGAGAGTTACACACATATTAAAATGCCACATTGTGGCACAAATAGCCCCTTGGGCATTACTTCATGCCAATCAGGAACTTGGGAATGGATTGTCTGAATATATTGAATTCCTTGTCCACTCCAATTTCACCATAACATCATTCACCTGTCCAGGACCCAACACTATAACAATGTTGGACAAATATGTTGTTAAATTTCCTAGTGCATTTATACTCCCCATCTACAAGTGGGCCATTTTGTGCACTCAAATATACTTATAACTGTTTCACTTAAAACATCTCAAAAACACATGGAAACGCGCAATTCTGTACCTTTCAATACCTACAAATAAAAACATTTTCTGAGATCCCTAATTGGGGAAAAACAGATACACATACTACAGATCACAAACTTCGATAACAGATGTCTGAACAAACCGCAATCTACGGGTCTAATTTCCTCTTTATACAGAGACCTTAATTCTTCACAACTTTCCAACAAGCTTTTATATTATTGAGTGCAAAGGGGATCTGGTGTCCAAAAGCTCATCCAATGTTGTAGCCTTAGAGAATTGATAAAAAGTGTTAATGCAATGATGTTCAACCATCTCTCAATCTCTAAATGTACTTCTACGCTTTCCCCTCACTGCTTTTGAGGTTTTCCTTCCTTAGGCTCTATGCTTCATATCTGGTGGGTACTATCCAAGATTTCAGTAGGTGTGGATCACAGTGTATAATCTTGCCTGATCCACAGTCTATTGTTGCCTAGTGCAAAACGCTTGAGAAATATTGTTGCAAAAGTGAATCTCAAATCTCACCAAATACAAAGGAATACTAGTCACCTTTATCTTTTTGGCTACAAGGCAGACAACTGAATATTCCTGGCAGCAGCCCAAACAATGGGCTGTCACATCTCTGAAACCAACATTCCTCATCATGGCTACATTTCTCCGGCTTAACTGTCCCCCCCCCCACCCCTTCCTCTACCCCTATTTCTAACTCTCTCTCACATTTCCTCCGTCTTCCTTTACTCACCTGCACCTTTCATGTATTCCTACCAATCTCTCAAAGTCATGAAAGAAGTAATGGTAGTAAGTGTAATTTACAACTTACACTTGTATCTCACAAATCTAAAAGAGACTTCTTGGAGTTATCCTTTAACAGTATTTCCAGGATGAGTTGATGGTTATATTAAGTGACAGAAATCCTAAATACTTACCTTACATCACATGATTAAGTTCCTAGGTCTTCATACATGTACCCAGCATTGAAGGGAGCCCAGAGGAACATTTTCTCCATTAAAAGACATTCATTTTACATCTCAATATACCACCATTCCAGCATGACTGTTGGCATTAAAGTTTTAGTGTAGGTCTAGTTTATAGGACAGACTGTATGGTAAAATTGATTATCCATATGATTCAAGTAGGCTGTGTTCCTTTTTGTTTTCCAGTATCCTCCTTTGGCTACAAGTTTTCAGGCTAGACAGGAAGAAATGAAGTTTCAATACCGTTGTAACAAGTTGCAGCACAAAATGAAGCAGACTTCAGTGGCACAACAAAGCTTGAAGGTTGCACTAGAAAATCTAAAATTCTGTGGACAAGTTCAAGATCTGTCACCTCTTCAACAGGTAATATAATCTGAATCATACAGCAGTTGACCATATCCAATAACTTCTGTAAAGCTTCCAAAATGGTACAAGATTTCCAGGACACTCTGTTACTACTTAGCTGATGTAAGTAAGTGGGACATGCACAACATGTTCACTATGAACATTGTTGCATTCTACATGTCATTTCTTAGCAAATACTCATTTTAAAAGTTGTATTTAGCAAGAAAAGCAGGTACATTTTGTGCAACAATTATAAAAATGAGTGTTTTTTTAATGCCTTGGTTAATCCTCGAAATAGTAATTGTATGTTATATGTTGTGTTCAGGCAATTTGTCTTGCCAATATCTTTGTGATGTCATGGATTTTGGCATGCCAAGTTGTTTCTCTGATCTGTAAAAGATTACCTTTTTTGTTTCACTTATGCTCAGTCTTTGTCTCCATTTTCCCTGTATTGCCAACATCAGAGTTCTGCAGTTGTGTCATAGAAAAATTTGTTATTGTGATAGTAGCCTCCCTGGCGGTATTCCCAAGTGTAGCTTGGGGTAAAGTTTCAGTACCACAAGCGGTAACCCTGAGCTACACTCAGGCTTACCATGCGGCGCTGCTCCGGGATCCCTCGATCACTTACCTTGTCCTGCGCTCCCGCGATGTCCCCCCCTGCAGTGTCCCCTGTAATGTCCTCTGGCGGATGCCGGCATCTGTCCTCTGGATTCCGTCCCCTGAGAGCGTCGGGACGTATGGGGACGGAACGGGGGGCAATTTGAAAATGACAAAAAGTGACATTCACTAAATACATTAAAATAACATAGTAAAACATTACTGTATCAAAGCATTTCACATACATTTTGTTCCAAGTGCTTTGTCCTGTGCCCTGCCTCCTTTAGGTCAAAATCAGTTTTAGACCAGCTAGAGAACAGTGATAGTAAATTAGAACCACTTGCAGAATTGAGTGATAATGATTTGTGGGGAAATTCGCCATCAGACACTGAAAACAATTCTGCGACTTTGCTCAGTGATGTGCGAACTTGGCGCAATATTACACATTTCACTATTTTTGGTTTGATTATATTATTGAATTAATTTATTATTATATTATTATTTTTTATGATTATTTATTAAATTGTAATTTATGATTTCATGTTTCAAATTTTAACATGCCCGCTATGTTTACTAGACTCTTGTTCGGACAGATTTCAGTGAGTTATTCCTAAAAATTACAGGCCTACAATAAAAAAAATACATATTTCCATTCAAAAAATTTACCGCTTTGAGCACAGAAATATGGATATAATCAGACTGCTAGGGAGGTTAAAGGTAAAAAACAAAATGTTATACTTACCTGCTCTGTGCAATGGTTTTGCACAGAGCAACCCCGATTCTTCCTTTTCTTGGGTCCCCCACCAGCACTCTTGACTCTTCCCTCCTGCTTGCCTGCAAGCTGCTTGTTCTGGGGGCACTCATGCATGCTCACCCCCGAGCCCTGCTTTGTGTGTCCATAAGACAAACAGAGTGCAGCTCTGCCTTGTCCCCCATTCCCTCCTCACTGGCTGTGATTGTCAGCAGCGGGAACCAATACTTTGTCTGAGCCAATAAACAAATAGGCTGTTGGTCTCATGCATATCATGGTCTCAGGTAACGTTTAGGGGGGTTGCAGGAGGATCTGCATACTGAAGGTTTTTTACCTTCATGAATAAAATGCATGAAGGTAAAAAAACCTACAGCCCTTAGAACCACTTTAATTTAGGGGTCAATAAAGATCCCAGAAACCCTGGATTTCCATTTGCTGTATTTTTCATAAGACTTAAAGTATACTACAGTACATTTTTTTATAACATTAATAAAAATCTAAATCTAAAACCTTTTTCAGAATTGGATGAAATAGTGTAGGTTTAGAACCTGTCAAGTCGGTGCCCTTTTTAGGGCGAATTACCCCCTGAGTTTGTCCTGGTGACCATTGTCACTGAGAGAGAAAATCCTAAATTTTGGGTTGCACCAGAACAGGAATAGATGGTAAATCTTACAACTGGGTTGCCAGTTCTGATGACAACTGTCTGAGGGGATTTCAATCACTTTGGAGAAGTCTTGCATTTGGGACAGGGAAAGAAAAACAATCTCCCTGAAGGGACATTAACCGCGCAAAAAAAAACTTGACAGGGGTTTTAATCCCCCCCTACTCTATGCAAAATGAAAAAGAATGTTTTGGTTTTAGTTATATATATTTTGAGCTCTGAAATTTTATCCCAGTTTACTAGAGAAATCCACTTGTGTTAGGAACAGCAGGTGGAGACAGGATCTAGTGAGTAGATAAGGTTGGTAAGGTACACGGTACTGCATGCAGTGCACTACAATACAGCAGACAGAAGCAGATCGGGATCAGTTCAGAAGTTCAGACAACAATCAGAAGGGTAATCCAGAGGGCAGGTGAGAAATGTAAGCTGGGTGTGTAACAACACATCTACTGGTCACAGGTCAGGCATAGGAACAGATAAAGAGCATATAACAAAGTATCTGGAAAGTGCTCACCCTAAATAGCCGTTTTATATCACTATGGGTGACAAGCAAGAGTGCTCCAAAGCACGTACCATGCACCACACAATCACACTCATGCAAAGCTGCATGTCTGGCCACAACTCCAGTAGGACAGCCCTGTTGCGATGCTTGGGCAGGTGGTTGGGCCAACTGACTGATTTTCTTTTGTAGTCATTTTATTTAAATTACACAGTACAGTATAATATAAAGGAAATAACAATTAAGTCAAGCATGCACATTGGAGATGATGGGATGCAGGCAGATGTGGTGCTGTATTTTGTTCACAAAAATGTATAGAGATTTGCTAATCTGCAGAAGCTGTGGTCAACTTACTTTTTATAGCAGGCCTGAAATGTGGCTCCTGACATCAGCAAAGGGTTATACATAATACTCACTGTACGTTTGTAATGCTAGAGAAGGCTGTCAGAGATTGGGCACATGCTGCAGGAGATGGTCAAATAATGTGGACATGCTACAAGAGGTGGTCAAATACTGTGGGCAGGCTACAGGAGATGGCCAGAGACTGTGGATGTACTGCAGGATATGGTATGAGACTGTGGACATGCTACAAGACATGATCAAAGACTGTGAACATGCTACAGGGGATGGCCAAGTACTGTGGACATGCTACAGGACATGGTCAGATACTGTGAACATGCTAGAAGAGACTTTCAGAAACTGTGGATATACAACAGGATATGGTCAGGGACTGCACATGTTAGATAAAACTGCTAGAGATCAGTATCATTACAATATCTTTGCTAGTCAGTGTTGTAACATTTTATACCCCCTACTGCCTCAATAAGAGTGGGTGTCCCCATATTTAATATCCTGTACAACAAGGTCTGTTATGAAAGATAAAATAAAAACATGTAGAAAGAGGAAAGGGAATGGGCAACATTGAAAAAGTAAGAAAGAATAAGATAAAAAAAAATCAATCCAATTCTGAATTCACATTGCCACACCCATGATGCTCCATGGTGCTGTAATTTTAACTCAGCATGTTGAGTTTGACAGGCAAAATCACCTGTCATACTTGCCTATTAAAGTCAATGGGAACGATCTGCAACCACATACCAAACACAGCTATGGTGCTCGTGTGTAGTAATTCAATGAAAAATCCCCAATGGGATAGAACAAATCCCCCCAGTGTGTAGGAGGCAGTAGTATAGCCTACTGAGCACCTGTAAACTGCTGTCAATCTTAAAATTGGTGCACCATGGATTGCTTTTCAGAGGGCAGTAAATCCTGCCACCCACGTGAAAGAGGCCCTAATGATATGTACAGTATATACACGCAAAGAGGGCTGCTCTCAGTTCAACAGAGTGTAATCCTATTAAATACTGTATATTAATAAAGTAGAGTAGTGAATAAGCACAAACTACAACATTTGTAATTCAATGCATATGTAGAACAATATCACTATAGCCCTAAATCGGCACAACTATACAAAAGTAACAATTGTATGTACAGCATATGGGTAGCATATCCACTTCAGCTCTAGCGATGTACCCGTATGTCGCTGGAGTTTGAGCAATTATATTAATATGATGCCTGCAGCTGCCTGCAGTGACAGCAATAAATGTAAAAAAAAATTAAAGCAACAGTGCAAAATAAAAAAAAACAAAACATAAATAATAAAAAATGTTTTGTTGTGCCCCCTGCTTGCGTGCAAAGGTGAACGTATGTATGTCGTCGGCCCACACACGCACAAACAGCGATTGTCCAACACATGTGAGGTATCACTATGAACACCAGATCATGTGCAATTTTAAAGCACGACATGTTTGGTATCTACTTACTCAGCATAGCATCATCTTTTTTATATTTTATCAAAAAGGGGGTTATGTATTGTGTTTTTTTGCATTAAAATTCAAAAAGTGTAATTTTTCCCAAATAGTTCATTTGAAAAACCTCTGCGCAAATACCGTCTGATATACAAAATTGCAAAACCCACCAATTTACTCTCTAGGGCCTCTGCTTTAAAAAAAATATATAATGTATAGGTATGGTTCTAAGAAATTTTAGAGCAGAAAATAATGATTGTTAGATGTAGACAAAAAGTGCCAGAAAAAGCTCGGCCTTCAAGTGGATATTGTAGTGCAGCAGAGTACAGATATACAGATGAGTCCAAGAGTATACATGCAAACAAACAATGGTGAGGTACCACAATCAGGTATTACACAATAGCATAACAATTAGATAAAGAAAAAATAATGTCCATGTTCTTATCTGATTTTTTTTTTAAAAAGGTGCTCCCATGCTACCCAATGTGTAAATAATACTGATTCACACATGTGCGGTGCGGATTGAAGCTCAGGTTCCACAGTTAATTGACACAGTAGTTGTTCAGTGGTTCAGGTCAGGTTTACATCAGATTCAGAACAGGATTAAGTCAAGATTTTATCCTGTTCACAACTGATGACATGTGCGGTTTAGAAACGGTTCCCATAGAAATCAACATCCTGTAGTTCACACCTGAACTGGAC